ATTGGTTGCATCTAGTGATTCTCCAAGTAATAAAGACTAAATACGTTTAAGCTTACGACTCATATCATTTCCTAAGCTCTAGACAAATAACATATACTCGAGAAAATTCAGTCCGTAATCCATTCCTGCAAGATTAAAACAGTGTGAGTAGTAGTACAAGAAATATCGTCACCATAGCATTTTTACTATTTACGACTGTACATCCAATTGTGAATATGCACAAAGTGATATTTAATAACGTCTGTATAATTCTGTAGCTATTCGCCTGTATTACATAGCAGTCTAAAATAGTAATTTTACAGTGTGATTTACAAATTTTTACAGTTGTTGAAATGATTGTAGTTCAAGATGAAACGTTAAAGAGGTTTCAGTTGGCGAGAACCGCAGGACTGATGTTGCTTAAAAATATATCCGATGTGCGCATTTTGGTGGCTGCTGCGACACGCCTAATTTTGAAGAGTAGTCACTTGAATTTTTGAGAAAATTGCGCAATTACTACTGAAACCTAAATTTCAATAGTTCAGCTGTGCAGTAACTCTGCATATTGCTCAATTATTTGAACTGCTACCAAAGCTCTATGGCGGATTTTTTGTTTGACTGCAATAAATTTGTTCGTAAAACGTGTAATAGTTGGTGGTTTTGCAACCAAATTTGTTCGAATTGTCACCGACTGGTTTTGTTTGTTTTTTTTTATTTTTTTTTAGTTGTTTGCTGCCGTTCGTTTTGTACGGAAAACGAACGGCAGCTGGTGATTTTGCAATTACATTTGTACGATTTATCACCAACCGATTTTACTTCTTTTCCAGTTATTTGCTCGAAACTAATTTGTACACAAAACAAACAACTGAAGGTAACTCTGTAACAAAACTTGTACGCAATTTCGACAAGTGGGCTTTCTCCGGAACAGTAACACTCTATTATACTCTAAGCCCAATTCACACATACGTTTTTAGTTCGACGTCATTCATTCACACTTTATTCTTTTACCACTGTTCTATCAAACAAGATAGACAGTTTATAAGATAAAGAAAAAGGAAATTGTGAGACTGGGTAAATTGAATATCGTTTTATTATTGAATAAGAGGATGGTTTATATAGGAATTGACAAAGTCTTTCGGTACTTGTCAATTAATAGAGCAGGCTGAGAGAATGATTTATAATGTGAACATATTGCAGTAAGCATGTGTGGACCATGCGTGCATTGTAAGCTGTGGTATTATTTATAAGTTGTTTTTATCCTTTATTAATGCAGATGTTGCGTGTAAACCGCGTGTACGTGAGGTGACACAAAATAGCTATTTCGAGTTTCTTCGCTAAAGTAACTCACAGAATAGTGCTTGTATACACTTCGGGATATTTGTGTATACAGCAATCACTACCACTACCGCTACCACTGCTACTAACTCTGCCACTAACTCTGCTAATGCTTCCGGTTTTTCTTCCCCTGTGTTTTTAGCTCCTCCAAAACGGAGAAAACCTATTACGATCATCCGGAAATATGAATACAGTAAAGATGAATACTCTATCATTAAGCCAAAACACGGTTGCAAACAACAGTAGTACTAAGAAAAAAAAATAGTCACATATTTAAATAAAACATCTTCCCTAAGTCTGACCCCCCTTTTTCTATTTCTTTTTTTTGCTTTTTTTTGAAAAAAAAAACATAAACTGTTGTTGCAGCCAATCTAAATTGACTTGGTGTTACACAGGATAGGATCTTTTCTATAAATACGTCCCTTTTTTTTCTAATAAATATTACTTCAGTTTTATCTTGACTAAAAATCTAGTTTCTTAATAATTTGTAATTGACTCCTTTGTGTTTCCCTCAACTTTCATACTTCTTGTTTATCTTAAGTCTATACTTTTCATATAACAATTAACTCAAAGTTCATAATTCACACTCGACTCGAATCTCTTTGTTACTAAAACCGTATATAAGATATTGTTTATAATAACTTTTCTTTTTAATCTTGGCAATCAGTTTATATTAATATTACTTACGCCCTCTTAAAATCATCGTTGATTATCTTCTTATCCTAAAAACTTTATATTATAAGATTTCTTAAGTTGACTACTTCCAGTCTGGTGCTTACTTTCATAACTACTTTATTATTAACATCAGTGTTAATAACCTATATCCACGTTATCCTTTAAGAACTATTACCAGTGTCTTAAGACTGTGTAGCTATTGTAACGTTTTTCCCCTATTGTATTGCTTGTCTGTACTGATAACACTGGTTGTTTATTGATTGTCAAAAGAAAGTCTATTTGTCATTCCAACACCTTGGTTACTTTTTGCTTTCATGTGATCTGTAAGTGTCATTCTTCAATTTCTGTTAGACTTATTCTAAATACCATTTCTTCTATAGCCAATGTAAAGTAGACTGAAACAAGCTCTTATTATTCAATATATGAAGGCTTTATTAGACTCATAGCCACAGAGGGAAAAAAGTTTTGATTATCGTAAATGTTTTTTGAATGACTGCTCGTATAGAAGCAACTAATGCGCTCTACCTCCCGTATATGTATAGATACATCAGCTTTTTCTGGCTTCCTTTTCCGTCTTCTTTTGCTATTCTTATGTGCGGTTTATTTAAACATTTAATTTTACGCGTTTTTAGCGTTTAAGTCTTTTGTTAGTGCCTCATCAGTTTAACGTTACAGATTCGTCTATCACCCACTGCGTATTTCTGTCTGAGGCCAAGTTACCTACTATACACTTAACACTACTTATTTACTGATCTGATCTCTCTATATATTGAAGCATCTTCCAACCTCCTTTATGAAAAACATGTCACTTATTTCCAACGCATTCGATGCAGTAAGCAGTTTATTACATCATTTTTTAGGTAAATTGTATTATGGGTATGAATATTGGTCGAAGGAAATGATGTCGCTCGTGTTTTAAATGGTGACATAACATCTCTATCTTCATGAGTATTAGTTACAAAAAGGACGCTTCTATTTCAAAAGCGGTTTAATATATAATTAAAACATCCATAAAATAACAAAGTATTCGTATTGAATAAAGTTTTATATATGTAAAAAATCAAGGAGACACACAGTGCACAAAATTGGTTGATTTGTGACAAATATGCAGGGGAACAACCAAATAATTTGGTTGTTGTACGACAACTCTTGTACGTTTAACGTCCATTGTTAGTGAAAAAAGTAAAAACACTTGTTCGTTTAACGACGAAAGTTGGTAAAATAACGAATAGCAAACTTGTAAGTTTTGCAACCAAAGTTGGTGACAGCAGACAGCTCTAGTACGCTTTACAAACAAACTTGGCTGTTTAACAAAGAAGTAATTTAGACGCTTTGTTAACAAATTTGTGCGCAAAAAATTGATGCCAGCTATTTTTTAAACGAGCATTAGGCTGTAAACGTTGTACGTTTTGTCACCAAATTTAAACGAATCGTTACCAAGTTTTCCGCCATAGTGAAGTCTCTTTCTTTTTTGTTCTGTTTATTTGTTTATTACCAAGTGTAACCAACAAGAGCAATTGGCATACATTACCTTTATTATATAGTCTATTAGTAATACCACACCATCAGTTGTTTTTAATTGTTTTATAAAAACGTTAATCGTCACATATTCCACTGTCTCCAGTAATTAAAATAGTCATATTTTTCGTAAAGTTCCAACATTCATTTATAGTTTTTTAAGAGAGCCTGTATATACCACTCCTCTTTTTTCAAATAAAGTAATTACTAAGCCTGTTCGGTCACGCCGGACAGTAAATGTCCGGTGGAAGTGGATCACTTTATACCCATTTATTAGGCTCATTTATAATGTATTTTTGGCTCACTTAATACCTATTTTTTAGTCTCGTGTACAGTGTATTTTTGGATCACTTAAAACTTAGTTTTTAGGCTCATGTATAGTGTATTTTCGGATCACTTAATACCTATGTTTTAGGCTCGTGTACAGAGTATTTTTGGATCACTTATTATCCGTTTTTCAGGCTCACTATACTTCCATGCGCGAAAATTAAAATTTTCACAGGCGTATGATCGGCTGTTTTTACTGTCGCTTTAGCTTAAAGGTTATTTACTTTTATAAGACTGCAGAATGTTTAATATCTTTTTTTTTTAATCTCCAGATGTTTCATTATAAGAGCATTGTCGGGAATCAGCCATTTAGTGGCAATCCTTAATGTTTGGAAGTACCAGAAGGGATGATGGTTTTGTATCCGCCTATATTTAAAACATGCAAGAGGAAGAAAACCATGACCTCATTGCTATATTCCTCAAAAAAGATGTATACAAAAGGAATATAGTACGTTTTAAATTTAATTATACCCTGCCTCCAGCTTATATTGTACTCTAATACTAACTAAAAGCGTTGTCAGCATGGGTAACTATTGAGGCATTATCATTCATGAAATTTTTTTCAACTTAACGGTGATATCGATGAAATTGAACAGAATAATTTTTGCCGTTTAAAATAGGTTGTTTATGCATTTCTTATTTTAGAACGATCTACTCAATGTTTATTTTGTCCATTGGATTACGGGGTGTGGAATCAGCAGTACTGTGCCCGTATATTCTATATCCCGCTACCAGAGCCGCGGCATCTTAAAAGCGGTGTGGGTTGAAGTTTTTTTTTCCCCTTTCTATTGTTTTACTATCATAAATGTTTATCGACCATGGAATTTTACTCAGTTTCAAATGCTTTGGATGAAACTATTTACAACAGTCAATGGAAGACTTCCAAAACTGTTAATTCATCAAAATTAAACGGACTTAAAATTTTTTTTTACGATGTGTAACCAAAAATTAACCTTAATTTTAAGACATTTTCTACTGCTTAAATGGAGAAAAGTTAATTGACACCCCCACCCCCATAATTAACTTGAAAATTAACTTCAAAAAAAAATTATATCAAAAAAAAATCTCTTTTACATTTTCTTTTAAAACTTTGCATGCAATAGGCTTGAAGGATTATGAAAGTAAAATAAATGTATTGCGAAGAGTTTGTTTATAAAAAAATAATTTTATTGTGCTCTTTTATGCTTATTTGAAACGACTTTTTTACCCTTTTCAGAAGAAGTAGGAGAGGGTTCCTAATAAAATTAAAAAAAAAAAGTCATTTTTTAGTAAATACAAGACCTAAAATATATCACAATTGATATTACCTTGGCCACTGATGTTTTGATGTAATCAAACAACGTCATCATCTATGTTTGATTCGGTTAGCTCAAATTTTAAATTCATGAAAGTATAGTTAAATATTACCGCCTCCTTCAACTCGCTGAACTCCTTCTTGACATCGTTCAGCTCATTCTTCATATCATTTTTGACCGCCTCCAGTCGAACGTTAACATCTTCCAAGGCATTGTCAACACCCCCAAGACGGTTGTCAATCATCTCCAGATTGATATCGTTCATACTGTTCAGACTGGAGGAGGAAGGGGCAGGGCTCCCTTGCTACCCAAGAGACGAAGCAATGGCACTTGCCAGGACACCAAAATTACTATTGAAGTCCTCCATATATTGGTGTGCCCCCCTGGACTTTCTTGGCATTGGGACAGTTCTTGCAACCGAACGAGGAGATGGTGCATCTTGATCGCACGCCTTGGCGCTCTCCTCAGCTAATTCATCAATTGACCAAAAGCCATTAGCACCAGGGACAGCTTCCACAGGATTCGCATTGTTCTGCACTGGACTTTCATCAGCTCCACATTCCAATTGGGAAGTTTTGATGGTTATGAGCTCCTCAAGTTCCCTTGCGATTCTGACGGTTTCGGTCAAGACGGGGCTTCCTAACAGGGAATTGTTTTCATATGTCATTGTTAATAAGGTTTTACTACGAATGCATCAGATTTATGTTAATTTACCTGTGGGTCCCTTCATTGCTTTCAAAGACTTGTATACGGTCCTCAAAGACGTAATAGTACGCTCACAAGCGGTCTTGACTCCTTTCTTTCCAGTACTTAATCTGATGGCCTCATTCTCTTCTGCGACCTGCTTCTTTTTTCCTGTCATGTACATTTGGCACACTTCGTTCCATTCATCAGCTCCAGATGGTAGAACATTCTTTACTATTTTGAGCAAGTAAAGCTTGTCATTTTCAGTGAATCTTACGGCTCCTGGAACGTTTCCCATTTTTGTTTGAATAAATTGTTTTGACAGAAAAAAAGAAAATAATTTCATAAACAGGTAACTCAGTTTTTATAGCTCGTCGTTAAGCGAATCTCATAATGCATGTGTTAGACTTCTTTTTTCAGACTTCTTTTGACCTTATCATTAATTTGTGACTATATGTGATGGAAATCTATTGGGACGGGGTCTATTGTAACTGAATACAATCCTCCACTCCCCCTACCCCTTCTTTCCATATAAATTTTTTTCACGCTTTTATTATATATTTGAAATGCCTCCAGTAACCAAACGTACATTATTACTGTATACACATATTGCTATTCTTTCTGCTGCTGCTTTTCATTATATGAATTTACTTGAATCTGGTTGTCGTATTAATAAACAGTTTTACACAACATCCAAAAGTTTACATGAACTTGCCGAATCAGCCGCTAGAAAATTGATTATGGCTCGTCAAGATGATGCTTACATGTGTCATCTTGGTTTAACCACCGCATCATTTGATGAATTATACGAAGAATTCCTCATTGAATATCCTAATGTTTGCAAGACTGGACGTAAAAGAGTTTTTGACCCCGAGATGATCCTTGCTCTAGTTCTTATGTGGTTAGACTGAGAAATTCGAGAGATAAAGCTACGAATCAAGAATAAAAATAAAGAAATTTGACGAAGTAAAATTATCAAACTGCAAAAATAAACTAAAGTCTTTATTATACAATAAATTGGGTTCTTTATATACATATTCAGGACTGGCTGAATATCAATCATTAAAGTGAAACCTGTCAAATATACAATAGGCGTATTGTCAATTAAAGATCGAGCATCTCATGGTACCTTCGAGAATCTTGTTATTGACGAGCGATCATATCATTGGATTGTATTATCTGGAATAAATGTATGACTATTGTTTTCTATATGTTGATGAGTAATCAATGCGTAGTAAATAGAGTGTAATAGCATGTATTTGATTTAAAGAGTAATGCAATAATGATTTATAGAAAGGTTATCAAATAAGAAAGAAAGAATTGCTGATAGAGTTATATCTGTATATAAGCTCGATCACAACATAGACAGTACAATGAAGCAAGAAACACTTTGCATGATTTTTGGTGCGCCTGCTGTTACAATTAGCAGATCCAAAAATATGGGTTTTGAAACTCTTTTGAAGGTATTCAATAAGAACAAAGAAGACCCCCGTTGGAAAATCTCTTGACCTAATGAGGATGAAATGAAGTTTTTCAATGAAATGGTGTATTCAAACACAACCAACGACTTTGAAAAAGAAGTATTAAGAGGGGTCTTTGGTTTTTTTGACGGACTTAACCTGAGAATACAGCATCCTGCTGACCCTTTGGAGCAAAATGCTTACTATAATGGATGGAAAGGAGACTGCTACGCCTCGCAGGTTTTAGTATATACGCCCGATGGATGCATCTGCTACGTGAGGTAAGATATACGTATAGATATTGTGACTTTAATCAAACAAAAACTGAATGGACCCTTCCTTGCATAGATATAACTGTCCGGGATCATGGCATGATGCAGAAATATCCGTGCCACTTTACAAAAAGCGGCTGACTCATCGATGCAAAGAACCTTACAAACTCCTTGCAGATTCAGCCTTTTCTTGTAAGCGAGAATTTGGGGGCAAGATTTTGAGTGTGCCAAGAGAAAACGCAGTTGGTGTAGATAGAGGTGATGTGGCAACTCAAAAAAAGCATGCCGTTATTACGAAGCATCGGCAGGCAGTAGAATGGGGAATGAGAGCCATACAAGGGTCATTTGGAAGGCTGCATGCAAAACTTCCTTCTGATAAGGAACAGCGTAGAGATATTCTGACCCTTGTATGGAGGTTACACAACTTCCGTGTAAGAACCGTTGGTGTAAACCAAATCAGAACGGTCTACTACGCTAATTGGAAGTAAAGGGAGCAAGAAATCATGAATTATTTGAATTAATAAAATTAAAAAAAATTAATCTTAATTTTTGTGCGTTTTGGAAGGCATGCGAAATTAACCTCGGAAAATAGAATTTCCGTAGTTAATTCTAAGTTAATTTAATTTCTGTTTTGCGTTTTGGAAGTCTTCCAATATCTAACTTCAGAGGAAATTAAACAGTACCTTAAAAAATAGGCTATTGAAAACCACTTCGTGTTAATTGTCGCTAAGAGTGAAAAAGATAGACGCCTTCATCTTCGTTGTAAGTGTGGAAAAGCCTGTAGACTTGCCATTGAGAACCCTGAAGAGAGAAAAAGAACAAGAACGACCATCAAAGACGACTGCCCTTTCATATTCAAAATCAATTTTTCAAAGTGTATACAGGTTTGGACAGTCGAACGACCTAATAAAGCCAGCCAAGAACACTTGCACAAGCATATTTTATCATTGGAAATGGTTCAATTAAGTCCCGAAGGAAAAAGAGGACTATTGAATCAGAACACTGTGAAACTCGTTACAATAATGATTCAAGCAGGCAATAGCGTTCCTGAGATACGTAGAACTCTCGGGGGTAATGATGGACAATCAATTTTGTCCTATGATGACGTCCGTAACTGGAGTGCTGAAAATTCTCAATCATTCAACGTCACTTCTCTTGATAACGATGCCAGAAACTTGATGTCCCATATCAGTAACAAAAGCTATCTGATGGCTTACCAAAAAGCTTTGAGTGGTAGTGAAAGTAGATGTTCTTTAACATCTATTTTCTTTATGCATGAAACCGCACTGGACGAGGTTAGAATTCGAGGTGAAGTTATTATTATGGACGCTACATATAAAACTAACAACCTTCGCATGCCTTTGATTTCAATCCAAAGCGTATCACACGTCGGTGGTAACTCACGTATGTCAACACGTATTGCCTATGCATTCGTTGCAAACGAAAGAATTGAAACCTATGTCTGGTTTTTGAAGTCGTTTAAGCAGGCTATCTTTTCCTGTTCCAGTGAGGGCATTGAACCCATCTTTGTTACTGATAAGTGCTCGGCTTTGATGAATGCTATTGATCAGGTCTTTCCTAACAGCAAAACTATGCTTTGCACCTGGCATATGAATCAAAACTTTAACAAGGAATTAAGTCATATCTTCATCAAATCTGAAGACAAGCCAAAATGCATTGAGCTGATTCGAGAAATCATTGTTTCATACACCGAAGACAAATTCGACGACGTCTGCAGTAAATACAAAGTAATTGCTACGAACAATTCTTTGTTACAAGATTGCTCGTCCCAAAATGTCCAAGTATATCTCGAAAGTAACTGGTTAGTCTGTAAGGATAAGTCGGCCGGCTATATCACCCGAATGTACAACCATTTTGGCTGTAGTACCAGTAAACGAGTTGAAGGCACTCATAGTGCCTTAAAAAGCGGATCTATGTCGACAGGATTGGACCTGCTCTCTTTATTTGACGAAGTAGACAAATATACCAACCGACAAATTATTAAAAAAAAAATGACAGGAATCAAAGAAGGCTGTTATGTCGATGGTATGATTCGCAACAACGTCCGACTTGTCAGATTGGTAGGTAAGGTCTCTACAAGGGCTTTAATTACCATCCAAAAGTCCATGTTAAACGCTGGAATGATATCGAATGACAAGAAATGTGATAGTTGAGGATAGAGATACATAAATAAAAAGAATAAAATACTTTGAGACTGCTTATAAGTTTTATTAAGAGTAAAAGTAGATTCAAGGATTGAGAGAGTTCTATTCGAACTATCAGTTTGCATATTTATATATGTTAAGAGAAATCGGATTATGAATTTAGTTTGATGGACAAATTACACAGCACTAAAATAGTGCTTGTAGTTGGATATGATATAATGTATAAGAAATTAGTTCGTGTTGTGATGTAATAACGTATGGGATGATGAAATGAGATTTTATTTAGTAATGTTTTATGGTGTGATTAATACGAACAGTAGGTGGATCACCACAAGATACTTGCATGTATGAACAATACCTGCTCTTGCAGTGACCGTATAATTTAAGCTTTGCCGTGTAAACACAAAATTGTAAGAATGGATGACAAGGTTCTGGCTGTTCGGGATATCAGCAGTCGGTCGTTGCTAAAAACTGCTACTGCGTATAACACCAACATGGCTTCCAACACTCCTGTTGTCAATATTCCAGATACCGGCGATAAACAAAGAATTAAGTTTCATAAAGTTGATATCGAATACAAAGTCAACAAAACTGACGAATTTAGCAGCATTTTGGTGGAAGCTGAACTCCAACACCGTAATTGTTAGTCAGTCACTGAGTCAAATGCTCTCGGTGATTTCTTGAAGAAGGCGCTGGAGGATCACCGGGAGTTTGTTAAAAATTCAAGAAGCATTGACAGCTTATTTATGTTACCAAAAAGTGAGACAATCTCTAAAGTTGGCCGTCCTGCTAAAGAAAAAAGCTTTTCTCCTTGGCGTCAAATCAGTGGTTCCAAGCAAAACAAGGAGGGTAATGTATTCATAACTAGGCTCAGAATAACTCATTTTCTTATCATTTATGAATGTTCTATTTACAGACGCTGTTAAGAATGGTGTTGTTGGCAAGGACAATGTTATCAAGAGGGACACAGCTGTGTTTTTTACATTCCCAAGAGAGCCAAGCCATGTAAGAATCTTTTAAAAAATACAACATTATTTTTACTAATTCAAATATTTATACAGCCGAGAATACGGAGTATGAGGCTGGAGAACGCCTTCATCTTCCTAAAAAGGCAAAGATTTGTAAAGTATAAAATTTAATGAAAACACATCTTCATATTGTACTCATTTATCAATATATATATATGTGTTTATAGCTGTCACGAACGAGAATTTCGAGATTCTCACTGAAATCTATGTTGACAAGGATCTTCAACGTAATAGTTTTCTAGAAATTGTGATAGTTGGTGAGGATGACCACTGCAGCTTTAGGGCTCTGTCTTACCAGGTCTTTAGAGACGAAGAGCGTTTCATGGAAGTTAAAAAGCTTATGAGGGATGTACTGCTAATTAATTATGATCAGTACAAAATATGCTTTGATGAGCATGTAAAATTAACCGACATGATAACTTGTACCTGCAGTGGTCTGGAGGGAGTAGTTGGGAGTGAAAGACTGGTAGAACATGAACATGGACAGGATAAACGGCTTCAATCACCAGAATGTGCCCAATTAGCCGCAGACACATTTCAGAGGCCTGTCGCCATTTATCCTTGTTCTATGTACGAAGGACACGTATTAACGTTTCTGCCAGTCTTTCAAAATGCAAACGTAAGACCTCCCCTTGGTCCGGCACCTTTGCCGATTGTTTTGCAAAATGATGGTGGGAACCACTGGGTCACCTTTAACATGAAGAGGTCCATCAAGATGGCCTGGCCTTGGATCAGCGTCTTACACCATGAAGCCATGGAACGCTTGGGTCACCAAGATGACAAGGTCAAGTCGTTTTGGAACAAACACTTGACCTTCAAGAAATACATTCCGTCTGAGCAGACAGGTAATATAGTTACATGTTTTTAGCTTACTTCTAGATCTAAACTAATCGCTTGTTTTGTTACAAAATAGATGAGAACACGGTCGTAATAAATGAATAAAAAAATTTTAAAAGGCATATCTGAAACAAGCATGAATACAATATGCAATAATTGTAAACTTTTTTTTTTATGACAAATATCTTTTTCAGTTGTACGTTAAACCGCTTTGGTTATATATAAGCCGTTACTGATATGGTGTTGGCTGCAACTATGTTGAAAATCATTTAATTCATGAACTAAGGATATGCGTTCAGGAACAAACAATGTTTAATTATTTATTGAAAATCAAATGAGGCGGGAGCAAACAAAGAACAGAAAAGACCGGATCGAACTTTTACGATATTAAAATCAAAATCATAAGCCCCAAAGTGAACTTGTATCATAAAACATAGTTTGTGCTTGATATCAAGTCTGGCTAGGTTAATATCCATACAGTTTCGACGATCTTCCAGCAATTTTTTTATCTCTGCACAATCTGCTTTGGCAAAGTCAAAATTCATACGAACACTATCCTGCTCTTTATCATTGCCTTGATTAAACTTCAAGGGCGTCAGAGCTTCCAGGACAATTTCCCTGTCAAAATTTTGCTCGAGCACTCCGGGAAAACGTTTGAACATCATTTCCAGAATACTCAAAGAAATAGTTACCCTCAATCCATATGAATCTTCCAAACATAATTTGGTGATGTGATATTGGTAAATGTGAGAGACATGTTCAACATATTGTACATAGGCCATATCTGGTCTCCATACACCATAATACGTATCCCATAAAACCTTAAGGTTTTCAAGAAGGTCCTTACTCTCCAACAAAGCCCACGCAGCTCTCGTCTTGGCTTTTACCGCCTCATAACTGATTTGTTTCTTTATTTGCTTCTTAAGTTTTTTTTCATCGACTCTCAAAACGGAATTTCCATCGGCCTTCTTTTGCTGCTGGCGGATATAGTATGCAAACCATCCACCTTAATCAGGACGCCCATGCTTGACACCAACGATTACAATATGTTGTTTCACCTTCAAGTGCTTGATCAGGGTTGATCTCGAGTTGAACGTCTTATGGCATTTACCACATGTCAACTTGTCTTTAATCAATGTGTCATCAACATCTCGACATCAACTTCCTTAAGTGATACTCCATTCCTGGACTGGTTCTATTTAATGAAGAGTGTCTCGATTAAAGGATTTCTTGGGGCTACTTCTCTTCTTTTAGGAATAATGAGACGCTCGCCTTCAGCAATACTTTCTTGATTGTTCATTTATATGATCGTTGTAAATTGTAAAATGAAAACGTAAAATGATACCTAACCCCCCCCCTGCCTCTCCTCAAACAATTATTCGGACCTGGTTCATAGGCCTAAAAAATAGGTATTAAGTGATCCAAAAATACATTATAAATGAGCATAATAAATGGGTATAAAGTGATCCACTTCCACCGGACATTTACTGTCCGGCGTGACCGAACAGGGGTGGTAATTACTATATTTGGAAAAAGAGGGGTGGTATATACATTTTCTCATTTTTAATTTAGAATGCTTAATCATCGTGTGAATTGCGATTTTCGACAACTAATTATCAAACACATATGTTACTTCAAAATTGAAGGCGTATAAATATCCTAGTTTCGCAATATTTAGACATTATTATCTTTTAAAAAATAATATTATGAAATGTTCGTTGGAGAATTAACAGATGCCTATGTTACCGCCGCCCCTCAGTTCAGAGTAACTGCTCGGAACGTTACTTTAGAGTCTAAATGCGCTGACTCAGGAGTCAAAGTTAAACTCTTTGTTCTCACCCAGCTTTAATGTTTTATTTTATTCGCTATTGTGATGTAAATAGCAAGCATTACTTTACTGGTAAGTTAATAATTAAATGTTCTATGATGATGTACTTAAATGCTTTGTTTCATTTTTAGTATCGCTCAATATTTCAGCTTTCACGTTTGATGATTCAAACAGGGCCTTCAGCAATGTCCGTCTTAATATAAATAACGTAAAACCATTGCCGATGGTTGATGAAGAAGGAAATATTCTTCCCATAAAAGTCAAGGAAATGAAGATTTCTGATTTTTCCGACAAGCCCACAAAGCTCACGTATGCGGTATATCGTTATGTCTGGGAGAACACCAATGACCCTACAATTGTTGTTGGTAAGTCCGACAAGACAGCAGAGAGAAATGTGGAGGCGTTTGCTGTGTCATTCCATGACATGCATGAGCATTTGGGTACGTTTTTAAATTAAAATATACATGAGCATGTTTTAATATTTTATACTTTAGTCGAAAGGGGTACTATCCCTCAGAACTGCAACCCAGTTTCGATCAACGGGGCGATCAGTCGTCTAAGAACGAATGCTACTGCTAGGCCTATTCCCCGTACCATGAGTACGGTTTACTCATACAGCACCAATGTGAGAAAAACCATTTGGGACGCTCCTTGTTTTAGCTTGGAGAATCTTATGAATGAAAAGTTACCTTTCTCGCCAAACATTTTAACCAAAACAAGTACCGCAGCCATGGAAACCTAATCCCGGATTTTCCTTTTTTATGTTTTTATTTTTTGTATGTTAATAAACCACATGTCTTATCTTTTTTTTTTAAAAAAAAACGTTGCACCAGCATTACATAACATTTATTTGGGTGATAGAAAGGATATGGTGTACAAACACTTTTTTAAAGTATAAATGCTGATTGAAAAAAAAACGACAAAGAAATTTTTATCATTTATCATGTTTTTCTCGTTTAGAGTTGGAAATAGAAATCTCTCCACTTTCTCAAATGTCCAAAAGAAACAAATTACTGAATTTCAAAAGTTCATCAATTAGAAACCCGATGGATTTTGTTGTGCGTGTATGAAAGTTTTGTATCCTGAAGATCGCAAGTACCGTCATATCAGTAACCCTGAACATTTGCCCTGTGTCTCATGGAAGCTGGAACCCATGGTCAGTCCAAATATATGTTTTGTGCGGTCCACTTGAAGACGGAAGAAGAGAGTTTTCCAAGACCAGTGTATCCAGGTTTGTTGTAGCCTATGTAATATCAGTAACATTTTTTAATTTATTCAATTACATAGGAGATACACTCAATGAGACTGTTAATCTGAATTACCGTGAAAAGTCTGCTCTCTCGCCTTTGAAGTTGATGTCGCAAATTACCAGAAGGGCTACATTGTATAATGGACGTATAAGACACTATGAACTGAAGGGTGCTATGTTCAACACACACAATTACGAATTTGCTGAGCTTGCATATGGTGGAACACTCAGTTTATTTTAACAACGTGGTGATCCAGCTATGATTAACAAAATTAAAGTTACGGCTGCGTATGAGGCCCTGAATAAAGTCAACCCTTTGATCCCTCGATACCAGTAGCCTAAGTTAACGTATGCTTTGGTTAATTCTCATATTTCTGAAAACAAGTAATATGTCGGGGCCGCCGAAGGATGGAAGAATAATGCTATATTCGCTAAAGATGATACCAATCCACCAGCAACTGATGTGGAATTTAAAGATTTGATTATCGGTGAAGACAATGTAGGTAAAAGCGTCAAATATTCTCATCCGAGTTTAATTGCTTTGCTGTTTCCTCATTTATTTCCAACTTGCACGGGTCACTATTCCATGGTTCCTACAAACGTTGCTGAGTTTGAAATACGTGAAGGCATTTACTGTCTCCCAGAAAATCGTGGTGGTGTTGCTACGGCTACTTTAAATGGTGAAAATGATGCAAGTTTTACAAAGTCAAGACAGATCATGAAGGACCGAATATTTGCCACTGATCATTCATTTCTTTTTTTCATGTTGGATACCATCGAAAAGAAAAATATTGCTTCAGCCAATCGATTTGTTGTATCTACCAAGGGACGTGGAAATTTAAAGCAACACGACATTGTCAATAGCTCGACCAAACTCCTGAACAAAAACATTGTATCCACAGTGCCTCCACAGATAAGGTCTTCTTATGCATACAAAAGAAAAAACTTTTTGGATTTACAATGCATCTTTGAGAATCGTGGTGATCCACAACTTTTTTTTACCATCACATGTGACAACAAGAGTGAAGATTTCCAAGGGTTGGGTAACGCTAATGCTCCATGGGAAGATCCTATTCTTTTTTCTTTTTATTTCAAAAGAAATTGGCTCAAGTTTTTTCAGCAGTATGTCTTGAAGAATTTTGCTAGTCAAATTGGTGGTATCAAGGAATATAGCTGATTGATGGAAATCCAAGATCGAGGTAGTCCGCATATTCATTGCGTATTATGGACCGAAAAATCTGTAGAAGAGCTCATCAAATTGAATGTCGTGCATACATGCTGCCCATCTGGTACCTCTTTCAATGATCCTTTAATGCACGAATTAGTCAATCTATTACAAATTCGTAAATGCAATACCAAGTAAGATTTTTATGAAACAATTAGCCTATGCCATACTAAATTTCAATTAATAGTTACTGTAAGCGTGGTGATCCCAAAAAAAATGTCGTTTAGGTTTTCCCAAACCTTTTGTTCCCGAAACTGAGTATGATGAAGAAGAGCATTGTATGTAGAAGAGAGACGTTGTTGATGGAATGGTAAACAATTACAATCCGTATCTGTTGGCAGTATTTCGAACAAGCATGAATATTCAATATAATGCAGGACCACAAGCCGTAAGATACTTGGCTAAATATTTGACAAAGGACAACTATGAAGCAAACATTTTATTAAAGAACGTACAGCAAAAAGGGTCGGGTTTCTATAAAAAATCATATTATGTGTCAGAAAACGAACACTACTCTACCAGAATTGTTGGATCGGTCAAAGCAACGTATGATATTATGGGCTGGCATGAACACAGCAATTCCAGAGATGTTATTTTTATCAATGCAAATCTGGTAACACAAGACACTTGAAGAATCAAAATTGATATCAAAGATTTACCTGCTGACTCTACCGATATATACATGACCACGCCAGTTGGTAAGTACCATTAGTACATCTTGTACTGTGCTGCTTACTGATTATAATAACCCACTTTTAGAAATTTATGAAAAGAGATCAGGTGCAAAAGGCCTTACTCTTCACAAATGTTTTTCCTACTACACCAGAATATCAGGCAACGAAAACGTTATTGAGGCAGCTACATCAAATAGATTAGCAAATAATGTGGATATAATCACTGGTTATAATGCAGGCCCTCTTCCCAAATATGTATCTTGTAGATCGGATGAATACACTATAAAACCCGGCAAACCTTTGTTTTGGAGAACATTGAATCAAAGTGAAATGAATGGTGAGAACTTTTACTACCAGCAAATTATTCTCAAGAAAGCTATCTTTAATTCAACATTTGAAAAAGAAAAGTCAGGATTTGTTACTTGGAAAGGTATTTTTAAATATTCAGCTTTAAAGTATTCAAGTGACTAACATTATTAATTTAAGATTATTATGAGCATTTAATCAACCTTAGCGAGGGTGGTATTCCTGTAAATAGAGAAGTCGAAATCCAAATTTTAAATGATGTTGCTGATATCGAAAGGGGAATGACAGTCTGCAAGGACGAACTCAAGGTTATGATGCCAACTGCTCAGGAAGATCAGAAGAGCATTTATCGTCAATTGATAAGAGAGATGAAAACCAACTCTGCCTCATTTGTTTCAGGTGCTGCAGAAACTGGCAAGTCATACATTCTCCGCATGCTAGAACGGTACCATAGAATCAAAGGATAAAAGGTAAATGAACACAGTTAACAAAATAAAATAACATACTGACATATTTTCACAGGTTTTTAAACTCGCTCCTACCGGAGTAGCAGCTCATAACATTGGGGGTCAAACATTACATCGTTTTTTTGGTATGGCAAATCGCTCCTTGGTTCCAAATTATCAGACTCTGGATGAATATGTAAAGTTGTATCCCAAACTTATTTTGTTAATCGATGAATACTCAATGATCAGTTCGAAACTACCGCAATCGATAAACGAAGCATTAATTAAATCAACGCAGAGATCATCCATAATGGGAGGTGTCCAAACAATCTTTTTCGGTGATATTGCACAACTTTTACCCGTACAAAAAAAATGAACGTGCAATGTGGGATTGTCAAATATATAATTCAGTCAATCGATACAACCTGACAGAACTAATCCGACAGAAAGAAAGACGATTTATTGATATCTTGGATAATGTTCGACTTTATAATTTTGATCAGTCTGTAATTGAATTCCTGAACGAAAGAACTGTACATAAGTCCGATTTACCAGATTCCTGCTTACGACTAAATACCACCAGAAAAAGAGTGCAATTAGCCAACGAAAAAGACTATGAAAATTTTCCAGGTGACGGTTATGCCATTGAAGCTCACGACGCCTATTCTGGAACAAAAGGTACAGCAGCTCGTGCTTTAAAGGAAACAAGACTTTTGCAATGCCTGTATATCAAAGTTAATATGCCGATCATGCTAATCCAAAACTTGAATACTGCTGAAGGCTGGGTGAATGGGACTATTGCTCAGATTGAGTACATTGAAGATGAAAATATCTGTCTCAGAAAATCTGTAACCAATGTTAATGGGCAAACTGAAGAAAGAATATACTGGATTCAGCGTATCCTTAGAAATGTACCAGGTACCAGTTATACCAGATCGCAATTTCCGATAGTACCCGCTTTTGCCTCTACAATTCACAAATCGCAGAGTGCTACAATCGATTGCGTTCGTATACATCTTGACAATATTCTTACTCATGGTCAAATGTATCTTGCTATGTCTCGAGTAAGAAAATCCAAAGATCTGTTCTTTTTTGGCGCTGACTTACCTTTAGCCATTAAAAGAAAATATGGTTGCGAAGCAGATGCTATTGAAATTATTAGAAAAATGACAAAGACAAGTGATCAAACTAACTAAACAATTATGACAAACTATAACTATCTCTTATATTAAATATCCGACAAACAATAAATTATTACCATGTATACATATATCAACTTCATTTGCGAGAAATTTTAATTCTTGATAACAAGTTCAAAGAGCTAGCAGTTGATTTATAGTACAGTCTACTAGAATCAAGAGTTATGGCGTTAAATGCTACTGCAATTTCTCGAGGACATAACGCAATATCTGTAATCAAGTCACTATACCAGAACCCAATTGGGCGATTTATTAAAAAACGTCATTGGACAGTGTGGATTAGCTTATTCTTGTTACTAGTTTGCAAACTGAATGACCTTGTACATTATACTAGAAGGCAGGGTATTTATAGTTATTTCGATTTGTAGTTTAAACGGTTATCTAATAGTTAGTGAAGGTACCATTGGGTGGTATAATACATGTCCGATGGTGCCTTAAATTTAAGCAATCATTGCTTTTATGATTGGATTGATTTGTAAACAATGAGCTAGTCTTATTTTTCTGTCAGAATTGAGAGGACGATCGTTCTGAGAAATCTTAAGTCAAACTGAGTTCCAAAGTAGTAACTCAGTTTTTATCCCTGATGTTCCTTTTTTTTGTGATATTGTATTTGGTATGTGATTCAATAATGTGGGATCGACGATTTATATATTTTATTTTCTTATTTATAAGTGCGATTTTAGCACATTGCCTATCAAATCTTATATCATTCAGATAAATGAGGCTTTTTCAAAGCACAGCATACCGAACCATAGTGAAGGTCAAACGTTTTACCGAAACGAAGGTTTTGTTCGAAAACCCCTCGTGCCGTTTAATAATTCCTAATAAGTGTATCTGAATTATTTTGGTCATGCATAAATCACAAAAGACCACCCCCATATATTCCTTTACGCAAAAATGTTAAATTTAATATTTTTGGCTCGTGTTTTTTGCTTATAATACATGTTACGATCTGAAGCAGAATGCTGTTTACGAAGACGAGGAAGTTTGCTTATTCAAAAAAAGGGCTGTAACACAAGAAAACCAGTTGTCGGATTTGCATATATTTCGTTTTAACGAAACAGAACAACGATAAGTTATTGAAATTTTACATTAAAGTATAATCTCTCTTTACCTTTATCTCTTATACAGTAACTGTTATGACGTCTAGTTCTACAGCAACTGGCTTTCAATACGTCAACTTGCGTTCCATTTTTAGGTTAGGCTTATACTTTATGAAACTCTTACGTAGTTGTTTTGGGCACTTTTTTGAATTTAAGGGTTATGATACAATACCAGCGTCAATTTAAACGGTACTAAGATTGTTCTCAAGCAAAAAAAAATTTTCAGATCTGATCTAGGCTGCTCACATCGAACAAAATATATTGAGATTTTAAATAGGAGATGTACTAATATGGACAAGCTCCGTTTTTTTTTTTTTTTTTTTTAAAAATTTTTTTTTTTATAAATTTTTTTTTCTAAATTGAATTCTGTGAAAAATAATGTTGCCCATATTTTTTTATTATTAATTTACTGCTTAAAAATGAAAAAATCTGTGGGCATCGAATGTGAAGCCTCCAGAAATAAACGGTCATAAAATGGACTACTAAAAGGCCAAAAAACAAATTAAAATTTTTAGTACTGTTTCCTTACCTTAATTTTTTCTAAAATGAACAACCCTATCAATTTCCAATTCATTGAAGTGACACCTAATGGTGTAGCCTCTGGTAGCAACCGCTCGCATGCTACTACCGTCTCAGAAGAAGAAGAGGTTCCTGTCGTCGTTCCTGCTGCTGCCCCTGTTGCCCCTGCTGTACCTGCTGCCACTGCTACTGCCACTGCTGATGCCACTGCTGATGCCACGGATGCTGCTGCCACTGATGATGTTTCAGATATGAGCTACACTCGCTCCAACTGAAATTCTGCCAGTACCTTTGCTCTGATTGAGTTGTATGCTAGTTACAACAACCGGTTGGAGTCCACTCGTACTCTAGCTGAACGAAATGAGTTGAACCGTGTCATGTTGCACTCATTCAACACCAACACCAGCACCAATGGAAGAAGACCTTTGAGTGCATTGAAGTCTAAGTGGTCTGCTCTCTGTGCTGCTTTCAGACATCGAAATGACGGGTTCAATGCGACTGGTACGGCACCAATTGAAAACTGGGCTTACCATGATGCGATGGAGAACACCACCAGTGAGATGCCCACCGTGATCCCACCCACTGTGTATACCTCTCTTGCTGGAGAGACGGTTGATAATCGTGGTGAAGCTGTCGGTGCTAGACGAGGAAGAGCCGTCGAAGACGATGGTGCTGAGGAGGGTGTGACTCGTGGGGCTGCCAGTAGAAGTAGAGCGGTCAACCGAACGATCGAGCATCTGGTGACCTCGATGAATGAGATTGAGGCACGTCGTTTTGAGCGTGGAGAGCCTGAGCGTAGAACGTTCAATAATTACCTTGCTCGTTCGATAACGTTTTTTGGTCAGACGTTGGAGTCCATGGAGAGACGGGACCCGGTGCAGTCTCGCATCGCTGATCAGATGCAGGCCAGTCTGGATATCCAGCGCCAGATGCTGATGGTAATGAGAGGGGATTTTGGCCCAAGCAACAACAACAACAACAACAACAACAATAACGGGGCCAACAACAACAACAATGGCGCCTAAAACAACGTCGACGGTGCCAACAACAACAATGGTAGCAGCAGCAGCCATAGCACCTACCACAACATCGACGGTGCCAACAACAACAATGGTAGCAGCAGCAGCCGTAGCACCAGCAACAACAACGCCACCAGCTACAATGCGTTCAAAAACGGTGGCTACCATTACACCAACAACACCAGCCACTACTTCCGCCCTGATGTCAATGGTATTCCTGCAGCCTATGACTATCAGTTCAACAGTCCTTCTGCCAGCAGCACCAGCACCTACAACATCACCGACGCCAACAACACCAACACTAGCCACATCGTCGTCAACAGCACCCTCCCCAACAATACTGCCTCCACCCCCTCTGCCAATGACATGACGATCGATGGCAATGTCACGACGGTTTCTCCTGTTCCGTCAGACTTGCTTGAAATCACTTATCCTTCGTCCGATGAATATAAACCTCATAACATCGACTAAAATATAGTTGGCTTTTTTTTTCAATAATAAATTTGGGGTTTTTTTTAAAAACAATGTAGTACTTAACATATTTAAGGAAAAGCTGCATTAAAGATGCGCTTGCGGGCACTATTACCTATAACACTTGTATCACCCTGCCCTCCAACTACAAGACCAGCAGGCTCAAGAACCACACCATCGAAACCTAGCTCCCCTCTTGCCTTACATGTATTGTGTAGAATAGCACACGACCCGTTGATATCATTCATATCCAATTGATCATACACGTAAATATGGAATTGTGTAAATTTCCACCGATGAACGAACTGACCAAAAGTTCTTTCTTCTGGTTGAATGCGAATAGTTGAATAACCTCTTGCGCGGACCCTGGAGACATTCACTTTCAGGGAATGGTGTAACCAAATTGACAATGGTCGGATAGGCTGAATCACGTAGAAAATAAAATCCTTTAGGGAAATAATGCCCAGGATTGTTCAAGACCTTTCAGCTGATATCACTGGAATTATAGGCTGAGGCATGGTGACTTCTGCGTAGTGTATTCAAAGTAAATTAGTTTCCAACTCTCATCTTTATATTGTTCATTATTACCAGAGTATCCTACGCGAATTTAAGTAAACATACATGTATCGTCACAAACAGCGGTAAGTTTAATGGTGTAGCTGTTTTTTCTGTCACGGAACCCTGCTCCATAAGCAGCTGGAGTTTGTTTATGAATGGCGAAGTTTTTTCCATCAATAGCACCAATTGCATCAGGAATACTCACAACAGGACCTTTGTTGAATCCAGCAGATATAGCACCTACCATGGCTGAATTGGTAGGCCAATCGATCATATAGCCAAGCACATCCTTGATGGCCTTCACCGTACGCCTCGTGAAATTGGTATAGCTGCCATACGAAACACCATACAGGACATACATGTTTCTATAACCAAGATGACAATTGGCCAGTCTCAAAAGACAGGTAGCTATCTGGATGTAGATAGGAACGTGGTTTGGTGTCTTGAAATCAAATTCGGGATGGGTAGACAACCTGTTGACAAGCCAATTGAAAGATTCCGTTCACATTCGATATGTGGCACGGAAGCTATCTACTTGGTTTTCGTCGTCGTCGTTGAGGTTGGGATGTTGTACCTCCCAAAAAGTGTATCTTTCAGACACTCTTGTGGCACCCACACCGACAGTTCGCGTTCTGGTGATAATTGCCCCGGTCATAAACAAAGACAAGGAAGTAATAGCCATTCCAAATTCACTCGAGAAATCGGCAGCAAAAAAGTCGTACTGAAATTGCTGTTCTCTAAGCAAATGCACATTACTGACAGTAAGGTGCAACAAGTCTACAATTTCTTGATCCTCGGCTGCAATGCTTTCACTAAGTGCATAAAGAACAGTTTGTTGTTGTCTTAACATTTCGAAGAGGAGAAACATTTGTTGGCGAGTTTGAGAATTCATTGAGAAATTAAATCGAAACAGAGAAAACGAAAAAAGAAAAGGTAAAACAGGAACAAAAGAAAAAAAAAATCTTGCCGATATTTTAGTAAAATCGAATTGCAATAGTTCCAGGATAATATTTATTTTTATTTTTTTTATTTTTTTAAAAAACCGGTTTTGGAAAAAGATTGACCTTCAAAAAAAAAAAAAAAATTTAAAAAAAACGGCGCTTGTCTATATTAGTACATCTCCTATTTAAGATCTCAATATATTTTGTTCGATGTGAGCTGCCCTAATCTGAAGTGCGAAGTTACCTTCTATGGGATTTTGTGTAATAAAAACTTCAGTAAACTTCAGATAAAAAAAATCCATCTGAAGTCTACCGAAGTGATATAAAAAGAAATTTCCCATGATTTCTAATTTCACGAATATTATGCAATTTTTTTAAAAAAATCCAAACTTTCATAAAAACATTACCATGGAGCAACAAAATGTATTTAAACAAACGGAAAAGATTACTAAGAGACAGTATACCAAAGGTGGTATGTACCATATTGCAGAATTATATGGACGCTACTATTTGGGCATCAATACTCACAACAATATTTTGTCACCAAACAGAGTTCAAATCAACAATCAGCATTGGAAAGCGTTGACATTCTGTTACAACGAGCGCCAAGACCTCCTTCCCAACAATGAAGGTTATTTCAGGACCGACAAAGCTCTTCTCAAGAAATATGGTGCTATGAAAACAAAGTATCAGAACAAAAAGGAGACCAATACCTCCACCGGTTCGGGAGGTGGCCCATTTCTTGGGTACCTTCAATAAATGCATGATTATTTGCATAAGGACCCCCAGCTTCACCCAAAGGCCACCTATAGCTCCGTCAAAAGAGGTTATAGTGTTCGAAATGACGGGGAGAACAGGGATGATGTTGTCGTCTCCGAAGATTCTTGCCCCATCCCTCCGCATCAATAGGCGAACAAAAAAAGAAGAGGAAATCTGTCAAGGAAGAAAAGGAGCCAGCTCAAGTGAAGTCTAGAGTTGAAGCTTTGGAACAAATGAAGCAAATCACGGAAGGCATGACAAGCAAGCTCGAGGAGATTATGAGCAAGCCTCTTGTTGTTGAACACGTTGAATCTGAAGAGAAGAAGCAGTTTTACAAGACGTTCCTTGAATTGATGGAAAATGGTTTATAATAAATTTCATGTTAAATATTTTTTATTGAAACTAGTTCAAGAACGTGTTAACATACACGTTTAAACGATCTCGTCGTTGTCCTCCAGCAGTTCTTTCCAAAGGAGTGTTTGTTTCAAATGTTGCTGGACAATCACTTCCTGAAGCAAGTGACAACTCGACTAATTCTTCATCAGTTATACCAAAAGTATCATTAGCACTGATGCAAAAGTTATGCAAAATACAGCTGGTATTAACGAGTTGACCAAACGTAATTGGTCTTGGATGTACACATACTTCCAAAGTACTCTCCGTCGCTTCACAAGGATACCAAATGCTCTTCCAACAACCTGGCGCATTGCACTAAACTTGGCGTGGAATCTTGCTTTGTTGGGATGAAGATTGGATTCAAGATGAGAGTACGGCGTAATGGCATGGTAGCTCAATGGGTACGCCGAATCTCCCAGAATATACGCATCTTCGAAAAAGTACCTCTCAGGATTCAACAACATCTTTTTAGCGATATCGCTTTCGCTGAAAACGTGTGCGTTAAGACACCTTCCACTTTCACCGGCATACACATAACTGAAGTTGCATTCAGAAGTGACAGCAGCTGTTAAATTCACGGAGAGATTCGACTTACGATCACAATAGCTCTCGAACATTTCCTTTGGTCGGTGAATGACAATTAAGTTGCCATCAACAGCTCCAATGACATTTGGCAATCGTTTAATTGACAAATCATCCGGGTAAGGGAACTCGAAGCCGTGCTTTACCTCCCGGAATTCATCTTCGGTTGACAGCTATGAAATCAAGTGGCCCAATTGGTCATTTACTACCTCGAGAAACCTTTCCGTAAAATTGAAGACGGAGCCTTGGCCAAATGCCAAAGTTGCTCCCATTATTCTGTACCCGAAATGACAATTAGAAAAGCGCCAGAGAACAACTGCCACTTGCATGTACGTGGTTGAACTGTTATGCGCTTCCAAATCAAAAGCGGAATGTTGATCCAAAATTTCGATCAGTTGATTGAATGTTGCTTTTCTCATTCTATAGTGCGCCTTGTAGCTTTGAGTTTTGTCATCATCCCTCAAATTATTATGAGTAAAGGACCAGTATCCTTCGTTTTTAATGAGTCTAAAGTGGATAGGACTGGACTGGAGCACGTCTTCTTCGAACTGCGTAAACATTACTCTAGGAACTACGTTTGTTGTGGTCAATAAAATCTGGTGGTATTTTTCCATGACGATCTTCACAGATTCACATGTCAAGACATGTTCATCTTCTTCAAGTTTCTGAAGAAGAAGTGGCATATACTTTGCAATATAAAGCATCTTCTCTCTAGGAGGCTTCGTTATTTCAAGATTCATTTTTGTATAAATTTTTGTAAAAAAGGTACGATTTTGTATAGTAGTTTTAGTATTTTCAAAAAATAATTTATTGTTCCACGAAATAATTGATTTTATAATTGAAATGGCGAACTTCAGATCAGATCTGAATTTTTTTTTTTTGCTTCAGAACAACCTAACACTAAAAAAAATTGCTTTATCCTAATTAAACACTACTAGTATAGTGTAAATCCGTTGACAAGTAATTGAATTACGATATTGTCAAAAGTATTACCAAATACATGTTCGCTTCTATTTCTTAATTTAAACCAAAAATCCGATGAAAAGTGTAGTGAATTTCCCAAATACCCATTACAGCAGATACTTTTTAAAAACTAAATGTTTTGAAAAACACCGATAAAATGATCATTTACGTTCAGTCGTCGATGTTTTAAAAATATTATTAAATAATAAGCCAATCAAAGATTTTATATTTTTTTTGAAATGATCGTGCAAAAAGTTGCTAGTGAAACGAAAATTTTTAAAACCTATGATTGGCCAATTTTATTCTAAACTATGATTTTTTTAAAACTTCAATGACTGAGGACTCGTAATGAAGTTCCAAAATTGGCTCAAAGAACCACTTAACATTTCGCATTTTTTAACAGTTTTGTTATAGTGTTAATATATGCACAAAACAAAATTGTGAATTTCTCCGCCTTTGAATGATTTCGGTTTTCTGCGTTTGATAATTTTTGATGTGAATATTCAACCATTGCTAGTTTCGGGTGAGAAAAAAATATTGCATTCGAACGAAACGTATCGATGTATTAACTTTGGAACTACGAAGAGAAATGCCTGTACGCAACAACCTTCGACAAGAAGCTCGACTTGCAATGCCCAATTTATTTCTTTTGCTCGTATGAATATTGCCTTCAGCTTTGATATGAACAACAACGAAGAAGTCGTGTTCAAGCATTGCGAGAGTAACATCATCAAGATGCGAAAACTTTTACGTCTAGAAAGGATATTCCTTTGATAGTCCAATCACTTCATGATCTCGTGGAGAACAATTTGTCCTTGTCCCAGTAAAGGGACTTTTACTTTATCACTTCTTCCTTCGGGTTCAAGCAAGAATTTGAGGGTGGCTGCTGTCAAGAAATCTTGTCGACGATTATCGGTTGGTCCAAGGTCAGCCTAAAGAACACTAAGGTTGATCTTGGTATCAATTTCGCTACCACGGCTCTGTCTGGGGAACCCATGATATCGTTGGCAAGATCAGGAGCCATTAACAGCGTCGGCTACACTTTTGGTGCATAAAACACCAAAAGTGAATTAATGCCGATGGCTCTGACTGGCTTTGGTGGTCTTACAGCCACCAACAAATTCCGTACCAGCGATTAATGCTGCAAATTGATTGTATACAACGACATCAAGATACCATTCCTGTTTGGTCCTTCCGGATTCCATGGCTCTGTCTCGGATAGATGGGAAGCTAACCAAGTCCGGGCAGGGCTCCGCCAAGAAAATGGAAAGTACCTGAAAAACATGGTATGTATTATAAGAAACTAGTCACCACAATATATGCTCATAAGTTTTTTTTTTTATTATTAGGAATGGTATCAGACCCGCTTGCGTGAATCAGAAATGGAACAGTTCACCTTGCGGGTAGAACGTTGTTTTTTGGCTTCTGCCATAGCCAGCTCTTTCGTGACCAATTTTGTGGAAAAAAGCAAGTAAGTAAATTAAACTCTTAATTTTGATATTCGCCTAAACTAATCTTATCAAAAATTAGGGATACTCTCGGTGGCTCTGGGGGTGTTCATATCTGCCACCAAGAGTACCCCAACTACATCAGTTGTAGGTTGGCTTTTTTGAACGAGCTGGCTTTTAAGTTCGAAGGAAAACAGAACTTGCGGTCTCTGTCCGGTGTGGCGATGGTCTCCTTCTTGTTGAACTCCTTAATGCATCCTGGAAACTCGCCCAGGACGGCTGCGAAGAACTTTGGGAAGGCAAGAAGAAGCCAAAACAGCTGCCTTCTGTTTTTGAAGGATGCCTTTGTCTTGGTCGAAGGCGAAGTCGAGTACGATCATGTTTTTGACCGAACTCGGCTTTAAAAACTGTTCTACGACATCAATGTCATTGCTGATGTCGTAGAACCCGAAGACACCTCATTTGGTCTAGAGGTGGTTATTTCGACTGGTCGACCTGGTAATCTGACGACGAGGGCATATGGCCAAATCAAAAGCCCGGAGCTTCAAGAGGCTGGACGTACTTGTGTATGGGGTGAGACTTTTCCGGACGTAGATCGTCCAAATGTTAGAGACTTACATCTCCACGATACATCAAAGAGAAAAACCATGGAAATGTATGCGCTTGCGAAGAGCGTTATGGTTATGTACGGTCTGCGGTTTTTTGAGATCTTTTGAAAGGAATATTTTGAACTTCTCCCAAAAGGTTCCTTCCAGCCAGGTAAGATCTGTGATTTACGCATTCTGTCTTGGAGCGAAAATGTTCCCAACATTTTTGCACGAAATATTACTACCTAGAAAGTAAATAAGTCACTGTAATCTTTGATGTATTGTTTCTTGCCCTTGGTCACTCGCGAAGAATTTGGAAATCTGAATGCGGTTAAAAAGCAGGTCAACCTCTCGGACCCTCGTTGATCTCGCTTTGGATTTCGGTCAGCTTACCTGGAGCTGTATTTGAATTCATCGCTGAGATATGAAGAAGTCGTAGACGTTTCTGATGTTGATCACATTGCTATACGCTGAAAGAATTCCTGTTTCTTCCCCTTCTCACTTCTTGCGAAACGAGAAGGGATTTACATTCAAAAGGGTTTTGGATGAGAAGTTGGTTGGAGACACCGCCAACTTTAATATGTACCTGAAAAACCAAGTATATGCAGTGATTGATACCCAGGACAACCATGCAGGAAGATATAAGTTTATCAACAAAAAAAGAAAGATCTTTAATCCTAAGGCTTAAAGGTAACCAAAATACATGTTTGTCATCTTGAAAAAATCAATTTTTATCCACACTGTTTTTTTTCACCAGATATCTGTCCCACTTTTGTCTTCTTGTAAAATTTGTTTACCCTCTATGCTCGATATGATCGCTATGCCTATTTCCTCCATAACATTATTTTTTTGTCTACATTTTTGCTTGATGTACAATGTTAAAAGCTTTTATGATGTTTGGAATGTTAATTATTCTTAACTTCCCTGATTGCAAAATCACCTTTCACAGATTTTTGCAATTTTAGAGGAAGTACTAGTCCCTTTTTAAACTTGGTATACCTTCTATCTATGTCGATTAAAATTTAAAGAAACATTAAAAGCTGCAGTAAAGCCCCAGTTTTTGCAGGATTCTCCTGTAACTAAACCGACAGTCTGTTCAGAACGTAATACCCAATGGCGCTTAATATTATCTTAATCCCAGTGATTCTACACTTACTCGCTGTACGTAGTCATCTGTATACCTTTTATATACTGCGACCAAATTTCAATGTTTTGGCCTACATTAACAGGTTTTAAGTTAAATACTTTGGGACTTTTAACTGGTCTTTTTGACGCTTTTTTAATGATGTACGCAAAGTTTCAGTTCAATACCAAGAGCAAAAATGAGTTTGTTAACTCGACATATATCGAAATGTTTTGTGTACCCATTTATATTACACTGCAAAGAAAAAAAAATATAGGAAATGTTTTTAACATTTTTGGGGAGTTCATATTTTCAATCGAAATACAACAAAAAACAATTGTTCGGCGTTATATAATTCAGAACGAAAAATGAAGACAATTTACTGTACACACCTTGCAAAAATAGGGATTAAATACAGCACTAGTTTGATTATCTTGATCTTATTAATCTAGTCTATACCACGCTTTTTTTGATAACATTAATGCGTCTACAGTGGATTCAATTTTGTAATAAAAAACTTTGTAAAACCTTCCTAACGTTTTAAGCGAGCTAAATCACCTCTACTCCGTCCCACGAGTAGTGTTCGAACTTTTCGAGCATGCACCAATTTTCCGCCAGTTCGAGCGAAGCTTGAACCGAGTTTTTGTACTCGAGCTTGCGCCAACTTTTTTGGGTTTGAGCGAGCTTCGAGCGAGCATCGATTTAAGCTCGCTCGGCTAGAATGTCCATAGTAGTCACTTTAAAGTTAAGGTCCTTGAAAGACTAGTGATGGCATTTCCCCTTGATTTTAATCTTTTCTTCCCTTTACCATTTTTTTTATTTATGCTCTAATAATTATTATATAAAAATAATAGGAATCGTAACTACGCAGTCACAAGGCGAGCTAATTTTCAGTCACAAAAGTTACAAAAGTTAGAATTTTTAATGGGGGTGCGGGGGTTTCCCCCGCAAGAGGGGAGGGGGAACCCCTCCACCCAAGAATACGGCCCATAAGATTAACGTTGTCCCTTTATTTTATTTAGACATGTCAAATAATAGTGTAAATTATGCGTCATGTGGTCAAGAAAGACATAGTCGTAGATCCCAGCGAGATTGTCCTTTAAATCCAGTAAACCTAAATACGAATGTAGGCCTCTCTCTCTTTTTTTTTTTTTATTTGGAAAGACTGACTTTTTTTTAGGTCCCATCTTCAGTTAATAACAATGACAATGCACAAAGTAACTCAACCTCAATTCCTGAGGTACAGCAAAAGACGAATATTTTTTTAAGTATTCTGACTAACGTTTAATTCCAAATAGGACATGGAGGTAGACGAACCGGAGTTGATTTCAACTCATGAGCCAGTCCAAGGACGAATTGTCCGTTGTTCAACCTGTCAACAGTTTGGGCATTTAAGAAGATCGAACCGTTTGTGCCCCATGAACGGTAATCGTGCCAACCAGACTTTAAATCAAGCAAAGCAAACTGAAATACTGCCCAGTAGACATTGTTTGGGACAAATGACGACTATGTGTTCTGAATGCAATGCATTCATGGGGGTCGAAGAAAGATCAGAAGGTGGTTTTCATACTGCTAGATTTCAACTTTGTTGCGGGTTGGGTAAATACAAAGTGACCCAATTTTACCCTACACCTGGACTTATAATTAACTTATTACGCGGAAAAAATCAAACAAGCAACGAGTTTAAAAACCACATACGGTCTTGCAACAATGCTTTAAACTTAACGTCAATGGGTGTCAATTTGGACGAATCTGTTCAGAACTCTCGCGGCGGGGCCTATACTTTCCGAACTCATGGCAGCGTTTATCATCGAATTGGATCGTTGCTCCCGTCCAACAATGTCGCACCATCATTTGCTCAAATTTATGTCTTCGATGCTGAACATGAGATTGAAAATAGACACCGCGTTGCAAGCCATGTCGACATCAACACGTTAGGAGACTTACAAACTTTAATGCATGATATCAATCCTATAGTCAGAGACTTTAAGACGATGAACGAATATTTGATTGAGAATCCAGATCACGTTGCCGATGTGGCAATGGTATTCCAGGCCGAATGATTACCAGATCCACAAAGATATAATTCACCAACTAATTCGACTGGAGTTGGGATATTAATTTTGGGAAGTGACAATAAACAGGAGGGGGATGAGATAAGGGTTAGAGATATTATTATTAGACCCCAAAATCAGGGACAACTTAGGAGTGTTGTGTTTTAAGGTAAAGTAAAATTACAAAAAGACTATAGAAGTAGTTTGAGACTGTTTATAAGATTGTCCTTTATTAATAAATGAAATATACGAGTATTATATAAAAGACTGTCTGCTGTGTTCATATCTCTAGTGCTATCTTGAAGTTATCATTGATTAACCAAAAATGTATACGATTATTACATAGTCACTAATTTAGTCTTGTTCTAATAAATTTTAAGTCTTCTTAACTCTCTTTGCTTTAAACTAAATTTGAAGTATTTCTCAGACGTACTAAATTAGACTTGTGATGTCATATCCTTATGGTTCTTACTATGACATTTATTGTTAAGTTTATATCACAAATGGTATTAGCATGGATAAACCTTTGTTAGCTCTAATATGACTATAGCCTTGCTAGGTCACCACAAGAAGTATCAACGAGTTAAACCAGATCTACGATCCTATGTCTTACGCCTTAATCTTCCCAACGGGTCAATCGGGATGGCATAAAGCATGCGTATCTGAAAGCGGTTTAAAAGTCACCACCATGCAATTTTATAGTTTTCATCTTATGTTTAGAAGCTGTGGACATGATCTCCACCTTTATGGAAAACTTTTTCATCAGTTTATTGTGGATATGTACGCTAAGATTGAGCAATTTCGTTTAAATTTTATTAGACATAACCAGTCAAGTCTTCGAACTGAACTCTACCGTGGATTACAAGATGCGGTCGCACACGATGACAATGATTCGAGCTCTCTTGGTCGTAAAATTATTCTTCCAAGCTCCTTCATTGGTGGTCCACGACATATGTCCCAGCTATATCAAAATGCCATTAGCATTGTTAGACGATTTGGAAAACCCGACGTTTTTATCACGTTTGTAGCAAAAGTAGGCTTAAATAGGATAGTTTTGCAGAAAAAAAGGTAGAAAAAAACAATAGGATCAATTAGAATTCTTATCAGAGTTTATTGATGTTAAAGTTAACTGAAGATTTTAAGAAGAGGAAAAATAAAGAGTATTTATAATAAATGGAATGGACGAGGCTGAGGATACTACTCTTAACAATATGAGTATGCTATCAATAACAATATCTATATTGGACAATTAGTACTACGCATAGTCAATAGAGAAATAATAACAATAACATGTCTTAAGTTTGGACATTGGTGTTACGATACCGTGACACTTCAAAATAGTGACCGGCTTTAGCGAATCCCTTTTTTATGCCTGATCATGATTTAGCTATCATTTATCAGTGATGATGAGATATGAATTTATTATATGTACAATCTATATGTGTGATTTAGCACAACGTTTACGTGTAATCCTACGTGGCCTGAAATCCAAAACGAATTGTTGTATGGGCAAACCGCAGCAGACAGACCAGATCTTTGTGCAAGAGTTTTTCGACTGAAGTATAAAAGCCTTTTAAAAGACATTACCAAAGACCATGTTCTTGGTGTCGTCGTTGGATACGTTGCAGTGATTGAATTTCAAAAAAGACGTTTACCTCATGCTCATATGTTGTTCATTGTAAAACCTGAAGACAGACCTATGTAGAACTACCAGTGATTTTGACAATTATTTCAGCTGAGATTCCAAATGAAGAACAACATCCCTTAGCCTATCATAAGGTCACAAAAAATGTGATGCATGGCCCATGTCGCTCATTAAATCCCAGTGCCATTTGCATGAAAGATGGAAAGTGCTCAAAGGGTCACCTCAAAAAGTTTACTACTACTACAACAACAGCTGAATCTGGCTATTCAATTTACAGAAGAAGACGAGATGGTAGAAGTGTTACAAA